CAATTATCTAATTTGTGGGCTTTCTTGAGATTTTTTTTTCCCCAGTTACTTAAATCATGTCTCTTGTAGCAAAAGAAAATTCTGGCTCATGCACTGCAGTCTGTGGTCAGGGCTCCTTATTCCCCTTTCATCTGGAACACGGTCTCTGTCATCCTTTGTTTCATGACATGGATATTTCTGAGGGGCAGAGGTGATTTGCTTAGTAGAAGGTCCCTCAGTTTGGGTGCGTCTGATGTCCCCACACGGTTAGGTTCAGGATGTTTTGCCCAGTACCATGGAAAGCGATGCTGTGTCGTTTCTTGGGACGTCGTATCAGGAGGCCCAAGATGTGTGTCTGTCCGTTACGAGTGATGTTAACTTTGATCACCCGGTTAAAGTGGTGCTTCCAGGGTCTTTCTTTCTTTTCTTTCCTTCCTTCCTTCCTTTCTTTTTTAAGGATTTTATTTTTAAGTAATCTCTATGTCCCACGTGGGGCTTGAACTCACGACCCTGAATCAAGAGTCATAGCTCCTTGGACTGAGCTAGCCAGGCGCCTCCCCGGGCGGTGTGTGGGGGCGGATGTCTTTTTATGTCAATATTCCTTCCTATGAAATTATCTCATGGGGAGAAGCTCACAGGACTCAGAGAAACATTTTACTTACTACATCACCGGTTTATTATAAAAAGATATAACTCAGAACAGCCAGATGGAAAAGACACATAGGGCGAGGTATGGGGGAGCCTCCATGCTCTCTGAGCGCACCACTCCCCCCACATCTCCAGGAGATCACCGACTCAGAAGCTTTCCAAACCCCATCCTTTGGGGTTTTTATGCAGTACATACTGATTAAGTCATCGGCTACTGGGGACTGATTATTCCATCCCCAGCCCCTCTCCCCTCCCAGGAGCTCAGACGGGGTGGGAATGAATCTAATCACCTGACTGGTTCCCCAGGCAACCAGCCCCCACGCTTCGGTGCTTTCCAAAAGTTGCCTCATTAACATAAACTCAGGTGTGACGGAAAGGGGTTTGTTATGAATATGAAGACACTTTTATTGTTCTTATCATTCAGAAAATTCCATAGGTGTTAGGAACTCTGTGCCAGAAACCAGGCCAAAGACCAAATATGTATTTCTTATTTTAAATCAAAATATAGCATCTATTACTGGCTCCTGCCTGAATCAGTTATTCTTATGAAGGTTCCTAAATGGTGATGTTCTGATTCCATCACTCCCTCTACATTCACTTGTTGACTTGTGACTATAAGAAAGAGCTTTCACTTATTTATTTATTGACTTACACCCTTTTAAAAAAAGATTTTATTTATTTATTTTGAGAGAAAGAGAGAGCAGGGGCAGGGGGTGGATAGCAGAGGAAAAGGGACAAGCAGACTCTGCGCTGAGCATGGATCCTGACATGGGGCTCAATCTCACGACCCTGAGATCATGACTTGAGCCGAAATCAAGAGTCCGACGCTTAACCAACAGAACCACCCAGGCGCCCTGACTTACTCACACCCTTAATTATTCAATGGGTTATAATCCTTTACTATCATTTAATTTGGTGCTCAACTTGCCCCAGATTTGGTCATAGACAGCCCCTTTCAGATGTGTCCTTTTGACACACTCCCATCATTCTTTGACTATTTTCTTACTTTGTGGGTCACCTGTTTTAAAGATGAAGAAACTGAGGCACAGGGACTTGAATAACTTGCCCACTTTATACTGATGGTAGCCACGGGATCAAGATTTGAAGGCTAACATTGTGGATCCAGATCTAAGCTCTTAGCAACTCAGCCAGGGTGCGTCTTTACCGGGGCCCAAACCATGATTTCATGTTCACAGCTGTATCCCCACCACTCAGCAAGATGCTTGACCCATGGTACATGTTAAATAAAAATGTATGAAGGGGCGAGTCTGCTTGCTTCCCTCTGCCCCTCCCCCGCCTGCGTGCATGAATTCTCTCTCTCTCTCTCTCAGATAAATAAATCTTTTTTAAAAAATGTACGAAATCTGGAGTGCCTGGCTGGCTCAGCTGGAGGAATGTGAGACTCTTGATCTCAAGGTCATGAGTTCGAGCCCCAAGTTGGGCGTAGAGCCTACTTAATTTTAAAAAATGTATGAAATGAATAAATGAATGAATGACCCCTCTGTCATATCCCTAAGGTCCCACCTTCCCTCCTTTCCGACCTTAAATCCATTCTGAATCACGATAGTCTCTCTTTTGCATGCACGCTCGAGCCCCCAGCTTTGTTCTATTGACAAGGCAATCTGGCAATGTCCCCCTTTCCACCTGCTCAATGCTTGTACCCATGTAAGTGACCAAAGCTGGAGAAAAATCACACAACCCTGCTGGAAAGTCTTACTTTAAATTCATGACTCATAACCTCCAGTGGGCCCTTAATTCTAGAAGTCAGCCTACACAGTCAAGTCCATTCCCTTGCCTGCGCTCTGATGTCATACCTTCTCAGCTCCCCACAAAGTGACTCCTGTTACCCCCTCGGACATCAAACAAGTGAGGAACGACTCAACATGATTAGTCTTCAGGGAGATGCACCCGAAAACCACCATGAGATACTACATCACATCTACAGATGGGATAACTTTTAGAAGAACTCTGAACGACACCGTACGTTGATGAGAATGTGGAGTTACAGGAACTCGTATTCATTAGCAGGACTGTTTTTAACAGTCCAACCGGTTTTGAAGAGGGTCTGGTAGTTTCTTCCTAAGCTGAACACATGCCAATCCTCTGACACAGCAATTTGGCTGCGGAGAATTTACACATGAGCAACGAAAGCTTACGTCCATAAAAGTAAGTGTACAAGAATATTCATAGCGGGCTTTATCCATAATAGCCTCAAACTGGAAACAGCACAGGTATCCATCAATAAAAGAATGAAAAAAACAAACCACGATTTCCACATTCTGTGGAATGAAAGAAGCCTTACACAAACGAGGATATGCCGTATATTTCTATTTATGCAAAGTTCTAGAGCTTTAGATGTTGAGTACTTGACACATAGCTTGCGCGAGTTGAAATGTGATGTAAGCATAAATACACAAGGGATCCCAGAGACTGGGTACAAAATCCCCATAAGATATCTCATCAATAATGGTTTTATATGGATAACTTATTTAAGTGATGTTTGTATATATGAGGTTAAAATATACTATTAAAATTAACCACACCTTTTTTTATTTTTTTAATGTGGATACTAGAAAATTTCAAATTACATATGTAATTTAAATATGTCTTGCAATATATTTCTGTTGGGCAATGCTGATCTAAAATTTATAGGTAAGTGCTCACTTCGGCAGCACATATACTTAAATTGGAATCATACAGAAAAGATTAGCATGGCCCCTCCTTCACAAGGATCACATGCAAATTCATGAAGCGTTCCATATTTTTTTTTTTTTAAGATTTTATTTATTTATCTGACACAGAGAGAGAGAGACAGCTAGAGAGGGAACACAAGCAGGGGGAGTGAGAGAGGGAGAAGCAGGCTTCCCGCTGAGCAGGAGCCCGATGCGGGGCTCAATCCCAGGACCCTGGGATCATGACCTGAGCCGAAGGCAGATGCTTAACGACTGAGCCACCCAGGCACCCCCCCATATTTTTAATATATGTGAGAAATAGATAGATAGATAGACAGATAGATAGATAAAGTTAAAGGTCTTGGCATTCCTGCCCTTCGGCTCAGGTCATGATCCCAGGGTCCTGGGATCGAGCCCCACATCGGGCTCCCTGCTCTGAGGGAAGCCTGCTTCTCCCTCTCCCCCTCCCCCTGCTTGTGTTCCCTCTCTCGCTGTGTCTTTGTCGAATTAAAAAAAAAAAAATCTAAAAAAAATAAATAAATAAAATAAAAGCAGAGAGAAGCCTATCTCAAGTTTAGTCAAGCTGAAGGAAAAGTTACAGCCATCTTGGGCACGCTCTGTAAAGCTGATCTGCTTGGGTTCAAATCTGGGTTCCAGGGCTTATTAGCTGGGTGACCTGGAGCAAGTTTCTCAACCTCTCTGGGTCTGGTTTCTTCATCTTGTAAAATGCAGATGATTAATACTTATCTCATAGGATGGTTGTATAAGTTAAGTATGTTTATCCAAGTACAGCACACAAAACAGTACCTGATACACGGATTACTTGCTGTAGGTAAATTACTTTACCATTCGGAGCCTCAGTTTCCCCAATCATCCCATCTGAGAATGTATATGGAAAATTAAATGAGACTCCAGGTGCAAACACCCTTAGTACAGGCCTGGCTGTGTGGTAAGACTTTTAAAAGTGATTAACATTCCTTAACTATAGTTACTATTACTGTTGTTCATGCTCTTATTAATTTCCTATTTTGTTCCTATAATCATCATTTACTATTGTGTTGTCATACTCTTTCTCATTAATAATGATACTGGAAATATTACTATTATTATCTTGCTCTTGCCCACACCTGGTCGCCCTTCCACCAAGCAGTCCCAAAGCCAGCCAGGGCCTCAGTCCCAAACCAGGCGTTCCCTCCCAGGGGCCTCTACGCCTTCATCTGATTGGAGGAGTTGGAGGTGGAGCTCAGACCCCAAGTCCCCAACATGAAGCAGAGATTGACAGCAGCACCCTTGAGACCTCTGGACAAGTGGGACGCAGTGGCTAAGCCCACAGAACGATTCTTAAGAAGCCAAACAGAAGACAAGGTGGGCGGGGCCTGGGGAGGGTGTACGACCCATTAAACAAAGCTCCCCTCTGCTCCCAAACGTTGCTAAAAGCCCCATTCACCCTCGTCACCGCTTAATGGTTTCACGGGGCATCCCCCTCGTCAGTGGGACTGCCCCACAAGCTGGCTAAACGCCAGGAGATGAAAGGAGTTCAAACCCCAACTTCCCCCAGGGCTATGGTTCTAGATCTCAGCTTCTCTGTTAAAGGTCTTGGCATTCCTGCCCTAGCTCAGCTAAGAGGTTACACTAAGAAGTCAGCGTAAGAAATGAATCCTTCAAAACACTATACAAAGGAATTAAACTTTTATTGAGACCTTTCTGTGCCAGAAGCTGACCACACAGGGGCATAAGGCCCGGTCCCTGCCCTTGAGGAGCTCACAGTCTAGTAAGGAAGTTGGATGCCAAAAAAACTGCCACAGAGATGGGGGGCAGGGGCAGCAGCCAGCAGAGGAGGGCATGATTAGCCCGCTCCACCCCCCATATTCCAGATTGGCTATAAGAAGGCGAACAGGAAGCTTATCATTGTTTCTCCCATTTTCCCTGTGACAGCCCTGACTTTTCTCGGTCCCAGGCACCAAGAGGAGAGGAGGGAGAGACAAAGGTGAGGGAGATGCATTTGCTGCCTTCGAAAAGCTGCAACACCCTGGCAGGATATATACAATGGTAACTTTATTTCCCAAGGCCGCAAACCAGTGCAGCAGAAGCTGGGGAGAGTGGGGGAGATTGGAAGAACAGACGCTGGGCCAGCCCAGTCCAGTCAGGGAAAGGGAAGTAACGGCAAGAGAGGGTGCCCAGGGCCAGGGAATAGGGCAAGATGGAGGTTTCTAGATGGGAAAACTCATAGTAAGTTGCCAGCAGTCACAGCCAACAGAAGTGACGCCAACCCAATGGAGAAAGTTGCAGAGCCTTTACCATAGGCCACGTCTTTTGTAGAGTACTGCTCCATATTACTACGGTCCTGGTGGCCAGCAGCACCTGCGGCCAAGCTAGATTCCTCTTTCCACGAGGTCTCCGGATGTACTTCCTGTGCAGAAGTCTGGCTGGTTGGCGCTGAGGCGGGTTTGGTGGTAGAGACAGGAGTGGTTGGGGCTGGGGTGGAAGTAGTGACAGAGGTGGTTGGGGCCAGAGTGGTGGGCTTATGAGCGGGCAACAGGACAAGGGGTGGGATTCGAGGGGAGAAAAAGGTCTTGTTGTGGAGGTCCGAGTTACAGCGGGACCCCTGGCAGCAGGAGCCACTGAGTGTGAACCCTGGGCCTGTCACCGCATCCCGGGTGCAGAACTCGTCCTGGACACAGCCCCGAACAGGCAAGGATACAGTCACATTCGCTGCAGGAGGGAGACACAGGTAGGTCGGTGGGGGAGGGTTGCAGATAGGGGCAAGACAAGGGCAAGACAAGGGCAAGACAAGGGCAAGAACGCCCAAAACGGGGGCAGAAGGGCTCGGCATCCATTAATCCAAAGTCTCCACTCAGGCCCCACTTTGAGAAACTCTGTCCCACTGTCTCTGGCACATGATGAACCACATTTCCCACTTTTGAGAGGAAAAGTGTGCAGGATGAACTACAAGTCCCACAATGCCTTGGGAGAAAAGTTGGGGAGGTTTGGACAGGGATACACCTCTCACAAGACCAAAGAGCCCAACAAACTTTCCCTACAGCCCTCTCCTCATTTTTTTCCCCATCTCTCTCCACCCCCACCCCTGCCAAAATTTTGTCTTAAGAGTTCAGAACTACATCTCCCAGGCAGAAGAGGCGTCTGAGAAACATCCCCCAGGGCTCCCCGAGGCAGAGAGAGGCCAGCAGGATGAACTACCTCTCTCCTAAGTGGTTGGGGCGGGGGCGAACCCCTTGAGTTTTAAGGAGTCGGAACTAGAGTCCCTGCAATCTAGAAGCTTGGAGGCTTCCATTTCCCATAACACATCGTGCCATTCTGCACCTGGCACGCCTCTACGGAAATGTATTTCCCCCAAAAACCCTCTAGGGCAAAAGCATCCGCAGCCCCGTGCTACGTCGGGGATAGAGCTGCATCTCTCCCGACGCTCTAGCATCAGACAAGAACTTAGGCCTACAGTTTCCAGAACGTGTTGGAGGTGGGGGAACTCTTCGGGTAAAGGGCTACCCACCGCCCATGAGGCCTCAGAGAGGCCACCACAACTCCCGTGGACCCCGAGCTCCCGACTCGCTCACCTGCCGTCAGGGTGACGTTACCGTCGAAGCAGCCCTTGTAGACGCGGTCGCTGGCGTTGTAGCAGCTCACGACGGGCGGCGCCGTGCCCTGGCACGCCTTGCGGCCCAGCCCCACGCAGCTGTAGCACTCGGCACCGTTGGGCGGGTACGCACTCTCGTTGCCTGCGAGGGCAGCGGGTTGGAGGGAAGGGGTCCAGAAGGTTCCGGAAGCACGTCTCCGCCCCCCGACGGACGCCGGGCTCAGTCCCCCTAGCCCCGCCCAGGGTGTGGCCCGCCCCCACCCAGTGGCCTCCCTCCCTCCCCATTGCCCCGCCCCCAGCGCCCCACCCCACGGGGCCTCCCGCGATGAAGCCCCGCCTGCCGCCGCGTGGCCCCGCCCCCAGCCCGTGCCGCGTTCTCCCGCCTCCGGGTTGGGATCACCTTAGTGGCTCAGCGGCGGTGTGGCTCCGCCCCCGAGCCTAGGGCCCCGCCCCCACCGACCTGAGGGGTTGAGCGCTCGCGACGTGAGGTTGAGTTTGGTGTTGCAGCGGTCCTGGGAGCACTGCTGCAGCTGAATGAAGGCCAGAAGCCCGTGAAGGTCCAGGCCGCGGTCATTCTTGCCCGGGAGTCCCGAACCGCAGCCCCGCACTGCCACCGAGAACTGCCCGTGGACTGCGGAGAGGGGAGGGGGCGGAGTCAGGGGCGGGGCCTCGGGGCAGGGCCTCTAGTGGACCCCCTTTCCCCCCCAGAAGACAGCCGGGCCAGGGTCGAAGGGCAGGGGCCTCAGAAAGCCGATCGAACGACAGGCGGAGGGGCAGAACCTCAAAGAGCTGAGTCCGAGGGAACAGACAGGCTGACAGACTCTGGACACAACCGAGGGGGGAGGGCCAAGAGTGGAGTAGGACGGGGCCGGGCGACAGAGGGACGGAACCGCAGAAAGCATCCTAAGAAGGAACTGGGAGACTGACAGAAAGGGCACAGGAGCAGAGACAGGTGGGGACTCCCAGGAGCTGTAGCCTTAGATAGGGGCGGCATTCCCCCCGGGGGTGAGCCAGCGGGGCGGAGCCTCAGTCTAGGGAACCTAGCAGGAGACCTCGAGAGGGGTCTGCATGATCACGGGCCTACCTGGATAGAGGATTCTGGCAGGGACAGGGTGAGTAGGGAGGTCTCAGGAGCGGGGCGGAAATGGATAGGGTGTGCCCTCGAAGGGGACCGGGTCCCAAATCCGGGCTCTCCCAGTTCACCCACTCACCCCTCAGTCCCGCGCCCTAACGGCGTGGTTGTGTTGAAGGGCTTCCAGCCAGGCTGAAAGGGACGCTTGGAGGGCGCGGAATGGATGTGGGCCCATTCAGAAGGGGCGGACAAAAGGAGGCAGGGCCTGGCTGGGGGAGCGTGTAGGGGTAGGAATGGACCAGAGGGCCCCACTCACTGGTCTCCACCGCCCCCACGGCCTCTGTGCAGACGTCCACGCCCGGCGCGCACTTCACCGTCTTGGTCTTCTGCGGAGAGCATCCGTCATCCGCTTTCTGCACGCAGCTGTAGCACTCCAGGGCCTGCGCTCCTGGGGATGCAGGGCTGAGTAGAACTAAGGGATCCCTACTGAAGCCTCCTCCCGGAAAGGAGAAATGGTCCTTCCCATGCCCTCTGTCCCCGGGACGGGACAATGCTGTTGCCCACTGTTTTCCAGGACAGGAGTAAGGAAAACCTCCCCACAAAGCTGGTGCCCCTCTTCTTCAAGCCCCCTATGTCTGCAGTGGGAGCATCCTTCCCACAGTCCCTTACGCTCAAGATGGGGGATCCCGGCTCTGGATGGGAGGGACACCTTTTCACAGTCCTCCATTCATGATGGCAGAACTCTTCCCACAGTCCAGGCAGCTCAGTGAGGAATCCCTTCCCACTGCCCCTTTTGACCAGGGCAGGGGATCCTTCCCACAGCCCCCATCTACTCAGGATGGAAGAACTTGTCCCACGGTCCCCCAGGGCAGGACTCATCCCCCACAGCCCCCTCTGCCCAAAGTGGGGGATCTCTCCCACAGCCCCCTCGACCAGAGCAGATGATCTTTCCCACAGCCCCCTCTGCTCAGGATGGGAGATCCTCCCCACAGCTCCCCCTGTAGGAGACAGCTCCTTTCTAGAGCCCCTACTGTACCCCCTCCATCCCCTTCTGGCCACAGACCCACCTCCTCCAAGAAGAAGCAGAAGCAACAGCTGCCCTGTCGCCCGGATCACTGCCTGGGCGCCTACTTTCCTGGCAGGGTCCATGGCTCCGTCCTGCTCCCTCGGCGTCCCCCCTGAGTGTGCCGCCTCCCAACCTGGGCCCTCTTACCTGAGCCCAGGATGAGTAACCTCCCCCCAGGCAACCCTGGCCTTGCCCAACCAGGCCAAATCAGCGTCCGCCGTGGGGCGGGGCACCCACCCCTGGGTGTGTCACCCACAGCTGCTGAGGAGGGAAAGGGCAGGAGGCAAGTTTCCCTGACAGTCTCCAGGAGAAAGTCTGTGGGTTTGGGGGGGGGGTAGAGGGGAAAGTACTGAGGTTCAGAATGGGTCTACTCGACACTCAGCACTCCGGAAATATTTCATGAGTACTTAACGGGGGGCAAGCTTTGGTTTGGGCGACTGTTGGAGGGCAAGACAGAACCAATGCCTGTCCTCATGGAGCTTACTGTCTGATGGGGGAGACAGATATTAAGTGATCACACAAACTGTTATATACAAGGAACAATGAAGGGAGAAGTGTAGGGAGCTCCAAGGAGGTATGGAGTCTAGGGGTGGAGGCTGGCTGGTCAGTGAAGCTTGCCGGAAGGTGTCCTTCGAGCTGTGGTTCAAAGACAGGGGGCAGAGCCGATTACAAAGCAGAGGGAGCTCAGAGGACAAAGAGGAGGAAGGTGGACCCTGACGCCCAAGAGCCAGGCAGGGGCTAGACCGGTCAGGACATTACAGGCCCCGTGAAGAGATTTCAGTGAATTCTGAGAAAGGTGGATAAATGTTAAGAGGGTCTAAATCAGCCAGAGGTGGGGGAAGAGGATACAATCAGACTTGCTTTTTAATAGGATCAAAATCTGGGAACGAATGCAAATATCCATCAAGAAGGGAATGGAAAAGAATGAGTGGGTCATTCACCCCATGGGAAATATCACTCAGCAGTGAAAACAAGCCAACTACTGGTGTCTACAGCCCCATGGATGAATCTCGAAATTTATGTAGAGCTCAGAAGCCTTATGCAAATAAACCATACCATGTAACTCCATTTACATGAAGTTCTAGAACAGAACAGGGATTCCATTGTCCCAAAGGAGCGATGGTGATGAGCCCCCACTATCTTCCTCCAGGCAGTAGTTATATGTGTGTACAAATTTGTAAAGAATTACCCAGCTGGGGACGCCTGGGTGGCTCAGTGGGTTAAGCATCTGCCTTCGGCTCAGGTCATGACCTCCCGGGGCCTGGAATTGAGTCCCACATTAGGCTCCTTGCTCAGCGGGGAGTCTGCTTCTCCTTCTGCCTGCTGCTCCCCCTGCTTGTGCTCTCTCTCTCTCTGACAAATAAATAAATAAATAAAATCTTTAAAAAAAAAAATTACACAGCTGTATACTTATATACTTCGCTAAATGTAAATTATACTTAAAAAAAGAAAAGAGAGAGAAAAAAAAGAAAGACTGTCACCGTGGCCTCTGTGTAAAAAAGGAAAGGATTCTGGAAGGAGAGAGAAGGCCAGGAGACCAGTGAGGGAGCTGGGCAGTCTTCCAGGTAAAGAAGAAAAGCAGCCCCTGACATCAGGGAGTTGGCCAGGCACCCACAGTGAGGCCGTGGGGTTCTATTACACACCAACACTGAACACCAACCCCAGCCAGGGCCACACTGTGACGTGCTGGAGGGGGACACACTCAGAACCACTGCATGACCGCGTCTGAATTCTGAAACAACAAGAACATCCTGCGAACCGCAAAATGACTAAGCACCTCCATATCCAGGCTCATATAACTGACTGCCTATGTTACGTTATGCTGTGTTATATTATAGTATTTATATAGGTTATGTTTATTATATAATAACATTTATATTATTATGCTATATTATATCATTATATAAGCTACATCTCTAACCTTCCTTTGTTTTTCCCGGCTCATAGATAAGATGTTTCTGTGCCAGGGAAAAATAGCGGCTGTGTCCATAAAGATATTATCTATTCCCCCAGACCCCATTGGGCACCCCTATTCCCAATAATGACTAGCACCTCAGTCATATAGGTGACGTCACTTGGCATCATGCTGAGGCTCACAGAGAGAAAGCGAATGACTACTTGTGAAGTCATCCAGCACTGGGCCCCTGCCTCCTTGCCTTCCAGCCTTCCAGCCTTGAAATCCCAGCCCTGCTTAGGGTTTGCTGTGTGACCCCAAGGAAGTGTCTTCACCTCTCTGAGCCTCTGAGAGATCTGTTTTATAATAAAGGAAGGAGCATCAAAGTATCAATTCTGAAATTGGACAAGACTGAAATTTTAATCCTGCCTGTGCCATCCTCTTGCTGTGTGACTGCAAGCAACTGGGACTCCCTCTCTGAACTTCAGCTGCCTCTTTTGCCAAAAGGACCTGAAAACACCTATCTCCTGAGGGATGGAGCGAGGCAGGGTAATAATACTGTAACTATTGTGTGTTTGGGACCAGAGGCCCTGCAGGCCCCAGCTGCGTGGGAGAGTTTCAGGGAGGAACCCCAACTAGCCAGACCAGAAGAACTAGCATCTTGGGAGGGAGTGGTACCCAGGGTGGGGAGTCTCCTCTTGCTCAGGCCTGCCTGGATCCTGGGTGCTGACCCCAACCTGGCCCAGGCCCAGTGAGCAGAGGGAAGGTTGAATGTGGGGCCTCTCCTTACACCTGCTCTGTGATTCTTCACTGCTCCTGTTCCCAGAGGTCACTGCAAAGTGATTCTAGAAGCTGGTTCCCCAGATATGCGAACAGAGAGGTCAGTGTGGAGGCAGTCCCCAGCTCTGGAGGTCAGGCCAGGGCCTCAGACAACCTTGGGGCCATATCCACTATGGTTTCCTGTCCCCTGGGCCAAGGCAGGTCCAGAGCCCGGTGACATTCCCAGCCTATCTTCAGACCCACTCCCTCTGGGACATACAATCTGGGATGTGTCAGGGAAGGGGTGGGGTTAGGGGCAGGGCCGGCTACATAATTTGTGGGGCTCGGTGCAAAATGTAAATATTGGGGACCCGGTTCAAAAGGCAGGGAAGAGTGCCATTAAAGGTATTAAAATAGAAATGCATTTTTCCTTTCTTCTGCCGTCTTTCTCCACTCCTCCTGGTGTTTAATGTCATATTCCCAAAGGCAAACACCTTGGACGCTTGAGAGCACAGACCCTCACAGACCTTGTCTGCAGACCTTGTCCCACAGCCAGAGCAACTGGGTGGCTGGGCTCCCCTTCCGGTCAGCAGCTACCCACTGCCATGCCCCACCCGAGATGCCTTGAGGCATGAGTGCATGACCCTGCTCTTCCCGGCTGCACCCAGGCCCTGCTGAAGTTTGAGGTGACAGTGGTCACGGGGCAGGGGCAGGGAGATAAAGGCAGACAGAGCCTGTCCCAGGGACGCGGGAGGTGGCAGGAGGTGGAGCCGTGTGTGAGCCAAGGCTCCAGTCCCCTCTAGCGCATGCTTGACATCCCTTCAGACCGCACTTACAAAATCCAAATTCAAAAAGAAAATTAAGAATTTCCAGATGGCAACCACAGAGCATCACACCTGAAAGGGCTCTCGGCACAGGGACCTGTCAACTACACTGATCACATGTCTGAGAGGCTGGCCTCCGTGAGCACTCAGTTTGCAGAGGGGCTGGGGGATGAATTGATCCAAGAATCCAGATGTCTGGCACCCGGGGGTGGAGGCCAAGGGACACAGCGGTCCCCCGAGGGCCGGGGGGTTGAGGTGTTTGTATTCCCAAGACTTAGGAGCACCGCATCTGGAGCCCTAAGAAATCCTGAAACAGGACCCCCAGGCCCTGAGCAAATGGGAACTAGAGAGACTGAGTGCCTCATTCAGTGGGCGAAGACCTGTCTCTACACAGTGAGGGCCTAGAGTGGTTAGGGCTGTAGTGAGCAATCCCAGGGGACTGTGGAAGCCCAGAATAGGCACCTGATCCAGCCTAGGGATCAAGGAGAGCTTCCTAAAGGAGGGGACACCTTGAGTAAGACTGAAAGAATTAAGAGCCCTTTCTTTGTCTGCTTTATTCTCTGCTGTCCTCGATCCTTAGCAGCTCTTTCTCATCAGTTTATTCAGCCAGCAAACGTTCCTTCAGCACCTAATTTGCACTTAGGCCTTTCGCTGTGTGCCAAGGACAGAAGAGTAACTCGAACAACCTCCTGGGGCTCCCATCCAGCACAGAAGACACACTCATCGACAGTGATGATCCAGAGTCGTCAAGGCTGTGATGGGGGAGGCACAGGCTGGATCAGGGCTGGCTGGCACAGGAAGTCCAGAAGAAGCACCTTGCTCAGCCAGGAGAATAAGGGAAGGCTTCCTGATGAAGGAAACATCTGAGCTATGACCAACATGAGTAGTAGGGTGGAGTGAGGAAAGGTACCTAAGCAAAAGGAACAGTATGTACAAAGACCAGGAGGTGAAAGGGAAGCATTTTTTCCACTTTCATGGAATGAATGTGCCCTGTGGTGCTGAGGATGTGGTAGTAACCAGGACACCACTGGCTCTGACCTCATGGGACTCCCAGTCCATATGGGACACAGATCCATTACCAGTGATGACCTAGGGTGTTCAGGGATGGGACAGGGAGCTCAAAGTGGGGTGCCTGATCCAGGGGAGCAGGAAGGGCTTCCTGGAGGAGGAGACACCCCAAGAGCTGAGGAACGAGGAGCTAGCTGCTTAAGGACAGGGCAGAGGGAATAATTATGTGCCAAGGCCCGGAGGGCAGGAGCCTAGAAGTTCTTCAAAATTGCCAACTGCCCAGTCAAGTCAAAAAGGGTGGAAGCGGGGCGGGGGGGGGGGGGGCCCACAAACTAAAAAAACAAAATTGCCAAAGATTAAGGACGCATGCCTCCCCACCTCCCTCTCTGAGCCTTGACCTTAATGTTGAAGCCTCCATTCCTAAAGCGAGGAGAGCGGGCTGTGGGACGCTTGACTCTCAGAGATACCTGTAACTCGGATGTCCTGCCGGGGCTAAGGGGCCCCGGGACGCCTGCGCCAGAAATACACAGCAGCAACTGTCTTCCTCCGTGTTTAATTCGGTATTGCGGGAGCACCAATAAATAGTTCCCTCCCGCCCCTGCAATCTTCCTCCTAACCGGGGCAGGGCCCCAAGGGCTGGCTTCCCGTCGCGGGAAGGCACCCGCAGCCCAAAACACCACGGCTCAGGCCCGCCGAGCCGCGGCACCTGCAGGATTCCCGGAAGTTCCAAAGGGGCGGACCCAGGCCTTCCCACAGTGGGCGGGGCCTCGGGGGGAGGTGTGACGCTATGGGGGCGGGGCCTCGCCGGGACGTCCCCCAAGAGGGCTGGCCCCTCAGGGGGCGTGATTCTCATCAGCAGCTGTCACAATGACGTCCATCCAAATACGCATGGCCTCGGGGCTGGGCGCCACCATGTAGAATAGGCGTTCGTAGGTTTTCACGCAGAACGTCAGGCGAGGGTTGGGGCTCTGGGTTAAGCAGCAGAGTGAAGGTGGTTAAGAGAACATATGGGTTCGAATCCCAGCCTTGCTACTTACGTGCGGTATGGCATTGGACAAATTACTTAGACTGTCTGAATCAGTTTCCCCATCTGCCTTCCTAAATAATGCTACCTACCTCCTTGGGTTATGAAGATTGAGTGAATTAACATTTGGGGGCTTACGATTTGGGGAGCAGGAGGAATCTAGAAGGAAGACCCATGTCCCCTTTCTAGCCTATCTTCTATATTAGAAATACAAGCATTCACATCCCCCCAAATCTAGGTCCCCCTGGTTTGTAACTGGAGAAAGCGAGTATTTACACTCCATTTATTAAGTAGCTACTTGCCAACCCTGAATTGAGTATATCCCTTAGACCCATTCATTACTTTCTGTTAACCTTCTCAAGTCTGAGAAAATGGGTTATACTGTGCCCATTCTGCAGGTGAGAAAATGAAGGCTGGCTAAAGGAAGTCACTTTACTGATGTCCCACAGCTGGGATTCCAACCTAAGCTCTAGAAGGCCATAGTTGGTTGCTCCCCAGAGCTTTCTAAATACCGTACCAGTTGCCAACATTTAGATTTCTGGCACTGCCCTTGTACAAATTTCAAATTCCTGAGTTCCTTAGGGCAAAAGAATATGAAGTAACACCGTGTGGCCCATTCCCATTTGGCAACCATGGGCAGAGGCTGAGAAACGATCGCCTCCTCTAGATGCTCCCAGGCATCCCAGGATGACGTCTTCATCCATTTATTCCCAGCTTGGCATCAGAGCTTGCCAAAATTTTTGCTCTCGATCTTTTGCTCCAAGAAAAGTTAACAGTGGCTGATGAGAGCCAGGGACTGAGCTCTTAATTTGTGGTCGCTGCAGTGAAATGACCCGGTGGGCTCCTTCTGGGCTGGATGGAGGACCCTGATGGTGCGGTCTACCCAGGGGCAAGCTAGGGTCTGACTGCAGGGGCTCTGACCAGGAAGGCGGGGGGGGCACCAAGCGGGGGCTTCACCTTGAAGGCACAGCGTAAGTGGTCGTAATAGACTTCCTCGATGGCCTGGAAGTAGATGACGCCTTTGAGCTTGGTCTCTTCCTTGTCTAACGGAGGGAGGTGAGGGAGGAAGACAGCTAGTGAGAGGTGTGCGTCTGTACATCCGGGCAGGGGTCGCTAGACCCAAGTCCTGAGACTGGTGTTGGGGTAAGGGAATGGTGGCAGAGTCTGGAGTTCCCTAAGATACCCTGGTTGGGAGGTGAGTGAATGTTGAGGTTGGAAGGGAGACTGGACAAGACTGGGGAATGGGGTCTGGGGAGCTGGAATCCTAGGTCCCTGACTGCCTTGGTCCTGGAGAAGAAAAGAGACTCAGGAGAGGTTCTGAATCACTGACTGCCTGGGAGAAGAAGGGTGAGGGGCCTGGACTCCTGGGTGTTGAGGGTGCAGGGAGGGCGAGGACAATGCCAGTTCATATTCCTTCCAGGTATCTTAGGAAAAAATGGGGTTTGGGGAGCCAGAATTGTACGAAAGTGTTACCCATGTCACCAAGGAGGGCTGGGGATTTGGATTCTGGGTCGCTAACAGGGCTGGGGATCCAGACTCGTGGGCCTGAGCGAGAAGGGGGCAGGGGGCGGGGTCTCTTAGGTGTCTGGTGGGGAAGGCCTCCGGAGGCACCACTTCCAGAGTCCTAGGGGCCCAAGGACCCAGGTGGCCAGGCCGGGCTTACCGGCGTAGTAGGCCAGACGGCGGGCCTGGCGGTCGAAGCAGAACCACCGCTTCTTCCAGGTCTTTATGCGGCCACCCATCTTCACCAAGGATCCGCGGCAGCAGCCTCCCGACACCCTTAGGTGCGGGCAGCTTTCGGGATGGTGGCCCCAGCGTTCCAGGTGCTGCCGGAGATCCAAGACCCGAGGGCCTGGGGGGCGGGGTGGGGGCGTGGGCGGGGCCTGGGGAGGGAAGAGAAGGGGGCAGCTGACATCAAAGGGTCACGGAGGGGGTGGTCCAGCAGCCGGGGTGGGGGGTCCTGCTCCCCTGTTCCCCTGTAAGGCCGGCCACAGCCTTTAACCAGCCATATCAACAATGCCAATCATGAGAATGATTCTGGCAGCTCCATTCAGTGACTAGGACACCCTGCCCCCGTCTTACTAGCAGCAACAACTTGACTCCCCATGATTGCCCCTGGGACAGGGCTACTGGAGCCCCATTTTACAGATGAACAAACTGAGGTACAAGAAGGTAAAATGAGGGGCGCCTGGGTGGCTCAGTTGGTTAAGCTACTGCTTTCGGCTCAGGTCATGATCCCAGAGTTCTGGGATCGAACCCCGCATCGGGCTCCCTGTTCAGCTGGAAGCCTGCTTCTCCGTCTCCCACTCCCCCTGCTTGTGTTCCCTCTCACGCTGTCTCTCTCTCTCTGTCAATTAAATAAATAAATAAAATCGTTTAAAAAAAAAAAAAAAGGTAAAATGATCCACCCGAGGTCACCTAGAGCTTCTACGGGGTAGAGCTGAAACCCAAACCCAGGTCTTCCTGCCCCCAGAGCTCACCCTGAAGCACAAGAGGTATGGCAGAGAAGTGAGGGAGCCCAGTGGGACCCTCATATACTGTGAAACAGGGACCAAGTAAGTGATCCCTACATGAGAGTGGTTTCCATTACTGTTGTTGTTATTCTTGTTGTGATGAAATCAGCGATTATTTCCTGTGCTAAGCACTTTATAGGTATAATCCCTCTGCCCTCTCAAACTCTCTTGGGAGGTAAGTTAAAAAAAAAAAAGTGGAGGGGGGAGGTAAGTACATCATTACCCCCATTTTACAGATGTGGAAAGCAAGACTCAGAGAGGTTAAGTCACTAGGCCCAAGTCACATAGCGAGAGCTGACCAAGCCAGGACTCGCCAGCAGAGTGTCATCTCAGGCCAGAAAGGGGAGAACCAAGGCAATGAAAGTGTCTAGTGTGTACGAGGCCCAGCCTGATTGTACCTGTTCTGATCCCTGCAAAGAACGGTAATGATCCCCATGGTCACACTGAGGCTCAGAGCAGTGTGCCTCAGACTTGAGCGAACAGGCAGACCCACAAGGGATTTTGTTAAAATGCAGCCTCGGGTTCAGCCAGGGGTTGGGGGGAGGTTGTGCAGGTCCAACAAGCTCCCAGGCCACCAATGCTGCTGGTCCACGGACCACACCTCGGGTATCAAGGGCTGAGAAAATGAGTTGAGAAAACAGAGGCGAGGGCAGGGTAAGGAGGGATGAGAAACAGAGAGGAGACTCACTGGATGGAGATGGGAAGAGCTAGGCAGAGGGGAGATGCGTAGGAGGGGAAGGAGCAGTTAGCAGTTAAAAGGGCACCCACTGGGGCCTGGAATCGTCTGTGGGTCCTGTGGCCAAATTAAAAAGTTACACTAAGGATCACCAATGTGTATGAAAGGTCCCACTCCCTGTTGGGCACTGTGCCAAGTGATCACAGTGATCACCTCCTTTCCTCTCCCAAAACAAAAACAAACAAAAAAACCCCTATCTCTTGTCCCCATTTGCCAGGTGAGGCAACTGAGGCTTCTAGAGAGGCAGTGGCTCACCAAGGTCACCCAGGTAGGACGTGGCAGGACGGGGGCTTCAATCCAGGAGAGCCGGTGGGCTCGGGACTCTCGACTCCACCGTCGCCCACCATGTCACCCCCACGGAACCCCTGCCCCTCTCGGAGCCTCAGTTTCCCCGTCGCTGAAATTCGGGGGCTATCACAGTACCCTCCTCACAAGACTGTTTTCAAGGACGAGCTCGAGGTCAGGCTCTCCAATCCCGGGACGGCGCTTCTAGGTGCGAATCCCAGAGAAACACTTGCGCGTGCGCAGAAGAAAACAGCTTGGGGTGAAATGGGGGTGGGGGCGGGGGCGGGGGCGGACAGAGCAGGGGGCTGTTTAATAAGTGATGATGCTCCAGAGCAGGAGTGCTTCATTTTTAATGAGGTAGAGCTTATGCCTGGCAGCCCGGAAGGCTCCACTGCCCTGCCTGCTTTATTTTACTCCCTGCTGCTTATCAGCACCTGACAGGCTACTTAAAATTTCACTTACTGAAGCTGCTTTTTCTGTCCATCTGCCTCTAAATGCCAGCTTCCCCCAGGGCAGGGATTGCTATTCGGGTCACTGTTGTGACCCTAGGCCTGCCACACAGTAGGCACTCAATAAAGGAAACATTAAAATAAGAAGAAGAAGAAGAAGAAGAAGAAGAAGAAGAAGAAAAGGACAGATGGTTGAGAAAACAAAAAGCAGATTGAGAACAATGTGCTGGCTTACGGGAAAAATAAATTCACAAAAAAGGGTTTGATCAGTGTATGTGGAAAAGTATTCAAAAAGATTCGAAGGGGGCGCCTGGGGGGCTCAGTCGTTAAGCGTCTGCCTTCGCCTCAGGTCATGATCTCAAGGTCCTGGGATCGAGTCCCTGCGTTGGGGTCCCTGCGTTGGGCTCCCTGCTCAGTGGGGAGTCTGCTTCTCCCTCTGCCTCTGCTCCTCCCCCTTTCGTGCTCTCTCTCTCTCTAATAAAATAAATAAAATATTTACAAAAAAAAAAAGATTTGAAGCCTTTTCAACAAGAGGAAACACTTGTGCCTCCTGAAGTACAATGGGGAGACCCTTGCTTCCCCAAATTCAGTAGCATTTGTTATAACAAAAATGTATTCATGCGGGATGCCTGGGTGGCTCAGTCGGTTGGGCGTCTGCCTTCGGCTCAGGTCATGATCTCGGCGTCCTGGGATCGAGTCCCACATTGGGCTCCCTGCTCCGCGGGGACCCTGCTTCTCCCTCTGCCTCTGCCTCTCTCTCTGTCTCTCATGAATGAATAAATAAAATCTTTAAAAAAAAAATGTATTCATGCTATTAGCAGGGGTAAAAATAAAATTTTAATAAGGAGCAGTCAGCTAAATCCAGAATGTGCAAAACTCTGCAGGATAAATGACTCAATTTTTTTCCCCCACAAATAAATGGCATTTTTTTTTTTTTAAAGTAGGGAGGGAGGACTCTTCATCTCAGAGATTTAGAAGACATTTTAAATGCATTATGTGGACTTTCTTGGATCCAGATTCAAATAACCAACCATAAAAAGACATTTCAGAGATAATTAGGGAGATGTGAATGTGGATCACATATTAGGATGTAACAGAATTATTAATCATCTCCTAAAGTATGGCAATGGCACTTTTGTTACGTTAAACAGAAAACTTCTCTATCGGAGATACACAGGTGAGGTATGGAGGAAATGATACAATATGTGGAATCTGCTTTAAAATATTCCAGTGCACGGTGGGAAGTAGGTGAGGGATCAGTACAACAAAGTTGGCAACTGAGACAAGATTCGAGACTGATAATCACTGGGGAGCCCAGCTGGCTCAGTTGGTGGAGTGTGCGTCTCTGCGACTCTTGTTCTTGGGATCGTGAGTTTGAGCCCCACGGTGGGTGTAGAGATTACTAAAAATAAATAAAAATCTTAAAAAAGAATGGTAATCATTGAAGCTGCATGGTGGGTACACAGGGCTTACCAATCTATTCTACCTCTGCATATGCTTGAATATTTGTATAATAAAGATTTTTAAAAGAATCAAACAAATTTTTAAATGTTTTAAGTGATTTTGAATCAAATTTGAATTGAAACCAGCATATCGTTGCCCTCATTTTACAGTAACTGCTGACTTTATCACCCATTTATAGAAGAGGAAACTGAGGCACAGAGAAGTAGAGCATATTACCCGAGGACATGCCATGGATATAGATAACCATAATGGGAACAGAAACCAGGCCTTTTTAGTCACCCCCCCCCCCCCACCCCTGGCCAAGCCCCAGACACTTTTCTTTTGGAGGAGAGGAGAGGCTGAGAGAAGAAAGAGCAGAGGCCGGGGCAGAAACAGAACAGGGAGGTGGGGCTGAGGGCAGAGGTGGACTGACCATGATGGCAGGTACAGCAAGGCCCGAGGAACCTTCTTTGCTTCTTCTCATCCCTTCCTGTGGGGTGAGGATGAAGGAGTCAATGAGGATGCTATGCAATAAGAAGTGGGGAGAAGGGAAAAACGTAGTGGGTTCCTGGGTCTGAGGGAGGAGGGGGCTGGGGGCCTGGACTCCTGGGTCTGAAGGAAGAGGGGGCTGGAGTAGGGGCTCCTGACCGTAAGGAGGAGGGCCTGGGGTCTCACCCTGGCCTTGATCAGTCGCTCCCTCTCTGCCACAGCCTGCTGCAGGAGCCGCTCCATGCGGGCGATGTCTGGATGGAGGGCCCCACAGCTGGGAGGAGGGAACAGAGACCTGGGCGGGTTACAGTGGCCCAGCCTCTTCCCACGTCCCCACCTTCTCCCTCCCTGACGTCTCACCTATTCCCAGGGCCACCGTTCAGCAGCTGATAGAGCGGGTGTCTTCCAGAGTCTCCTGATGCTGGTGGGAGGGCCGAGGACTCGAGGGGTCCTGGGGAAGAAGGGCTGGGGCTAGGGGGCCAGGATTCTCCCTTGTCCAAGCCCCTCCGCCACTACTCACAGGCACCCGGATTCCTCCATCCCTGCTGCAGGAAGGGCAGTGGTGGGGGAGGAGGTCCACGGGATTGGGAGGGACCCTCACCAGTGTAGTGGAGGGACAGAGGTCGGGGGGATCCCCTCTGGCTCGCTCTCTCTCCCCTCTTCCGGGGCAGGCTTCCAGTCCTCTGGAGGCCGATGGAGCCCTGAAAACACACAAGGCCCATGCATATGGGAGAAGGGGCTCAATCTCGACTGCCAGTCGGAGGGCTGCCAAGGAAAACCAGTGGTTCCTTGGCTCAGATCAGAAAGCTACTGTAAACATGATGCTGGGCGAAAGCAGCTAGGCACACAGGCCCGCACAGGGCAATGTGCAGAATGGGCAGCTCCAGAGACAGGAAGGAGATGAGTGGTTGCCAGGGCTCGGGGGGAGGAGGGGGGTTGAGGGGGGACAGCTGGAGGATGCAGGGTTTCTTCTGGGAGTGATGAATATGCTCTAAAATGGAGTGTGGGGACACTGCACCACTCTGTGAATATATGAAAACCCACTGAATTGTACACTTCAAATGGGTGAATTGTAGCGTAGGTCAATTATATCTCGATAAAACTGTAAAAAAAAAAAAAAAAAAAGCCTATCACGTTGGCTCTCCCCACAATGCTGGGGGAGGGGGAGGTTTCTACTGGAACAACATTCCTAGAGGCCACTTTGGCTTTCTGTATTTTTAAAACGGCAAATGCCTAAACGTTTGAGCCCCAACTCCACTTCTAGGACTATATCCTATGGACGACACTTATTCATGTACAAAATTACTTGAGTTTGAGGTGATGCCCTGTAAAGGCCAGGGAACGACCTAAGTGTCCATCAGAAGGAGGCGGAGTATATAAACCAGCCATCATCCACACCCCAGAAAGCTCTCCAGCGTATAAGAGGAGGATGCTCTCTCTATCCAGACAGATAATAATCTCCAAGATAAAATCAAGTGCACAGCAGCATGAAGAATATACTAGCTCTGCATAAAAAGATGACAAAAGTATATTCATGACAGACTGTATAAGCACTGAATACCTCCAGGAAGACTCGAGAAACTGGTAACCCGGGGCTGCCCCCAGAAGGTGAACGCAATGGATGGAGACAATGAGGGAAGCGTCATCTCTCTGAATATCCTGCCATACCCTCCAACTTTGAATGAGGGGAATGTTGGCTTTTTAAAAAAATAAACCTGACAACCAAATGTATCCCTCGCTCCTGGGCCAGAAAAAAAACAGGGGCTTTGTTTTGGTTTGTTTTTGCTAGAAAAAACAATAGGGGAACAGCTGACAAAATATGAGTATCTGGTTCTTTCAATAATATTATCTCAACGTTAGTTTCCTGAATTTGATTACTGCAGTGTGGTTATGTAAGAGAGTGGCCTTGACCTTGGGTAATAAATGTAGAAGTATTTAGGGGTAAGGGGAAATCACGCTTTGAGAGAATAATAAAATGTCTGTGTGTGCATGTGTGTGTGTGTGTTTATGTATAGAGAGAGTAATAAAGCAAATGTCCAGTGTGGTAAAATGTTAATTACAGAATCTGAAAGCCACATATACAGGTATTCTTTCTACTATTTCTGCAATTTTTCTGTAAGTCTTACATTATTTTAAAATAAAAAGTTACCAAAAGATGAAAATTTGAGAGTAATTTATAATTTATAATAATACTCTTGAGAGTAATAAAGAAAGAAATAAGACTGACTTTTAAAAAGAAAAAAAAAAAAAAAAACTCTGCATGGACAATGAAGAATAGAAATGGGGCGTGTGACCGGCTCAGTGGGAAGAGTGTGCGACTCTTGATCTTGGGGTTGAGTTCGAGTCCTATGTTGGGTGTAGAGATTACTTAAAAAAAAAAAAAAAAAAGAATAAATAATAAAAATAATACCTTGCATAATTTGAGCACCAATAAGGATACTCACTGCTATAGATCACAACTCATCAAATAAATTTAATCCATGAGTTGATAACAGTAAAGGAAAAATAGAATTGGTTACCTTGCAACCGAAGCAACTCTTTTATTTTGAAGACAGGTGAATAAAGTGAAACCAGCAAGTATGTGTCCTGCATTTTGTATAAAAACCATACCCCTGGTTACCCAGGAAGGCAAGTCTCTCTCTATGGGAGTATTTCGATGAATAGATGAGGAGGAAAACAAATTTTATTTATTTATTTGAGAGAGAGAGAGAGCACGAGCGGGATAGAGAGGTAGAGGGGCAGAGGGAGAAGCAGGCCTCCCGCTGAGCAGGGAGCCCGATGGAGGGCTCCATCCCAGGACCCCGGGATCAAGACCTGAGCCAAAGGCAGACGCTTAACCCACTGAGCCACCCAGGCGCCCCGAGGAGGAATAACAGATTGGAATTTTACCGCTGGAGACCTCTCCTAGACCAACAGATGAAGGCACCCATGCCAGAGAAAGAGAAACAGGCACACCGCCCCCAGCGAGGTTTGCAAAATGCTGACCCTGCCTCTGCTGGGGCCCCTGCAGCTGACTTCCCGGGAAATACGAAGAGGCAGAGAGGTGACAATGACCCCCACAACACAATCAGCAAACCCTGCCTGGGAAACTCTACAGGACAGCCATCTGGTTTCTTCACCAAGTAAGTTGCAAGGGGGACAAAAAAAGAAAACAGAGGGGAAGTCTATAAAGACTTAAAATATACAGCCGCCAAAAAAAAAAAAAAAAAAAGAGTAAACTCGTGTTTAGGGACAGACACTGAATTGATTGAACTTTAAAGAAACGTAAGGAGGAGATTGCTAGGAACGTCAGGCCAGTGGTCCTCCCCGGGAGGCGGGTGGGGTCATCATTCAGGGGCATGTGGTGTGTTTCCAGAGTGGCTGCCAGTCCTGCCTCCTGACATAGTTGGCAGCTCCAGAATGTTCCCACGTAATAATTAAGCTGGGTGTGTGTTCCGCGTGACTTTCTATATGCGTGTTATCTTTAATAAAAAAAAAAAAAAGTTGGACAAAATAGTAACAGCCAGGACTTGTCAAGTGCTCATGCCATGCCTCCCGGCATACCTGGCACCCTGTAGGGCCACCGAAGCTTCTAGAAGCCCGGGGAGTCGGGAAAGTTTCACTCCCCTCCGCAGGGAGGACACGGAGTCCCGAGCCCCTGGGCCTCTTCACTCTTTCCTTGCTTCAGCCGCTATCCCCAGCATGTCCTAGCTTGAGATGCCTGGGAGAGGAAACGTCCGCATGGCGCTCATGTTGTATGAACTGAATAAGCCATCGTACAAATAACTATATCATCAGAAACAGCTGTGAGCAAAGAGAATCAGGTGTCCTAAGAGAGGATCAGCTTCCGACTGGAAGACTGGGGGCAGCCTTCTGGACACTGACCCTAAGGCCCAAAGAATGAGAGTGGGTCAGGGAAGATTGAGGGTAACAGTGTTCCAGGTAGAAGGATCAGCAAATGCAAAGGCCCTGAGGCAGGAGCAAAAAGGGAATGTTGGCAGGTCAGGGCTCCTGCAGCTAAAGCAGAGCGTATGTGGGGGACAGTGGTGAGAGATGGACAGGGGCCTGATCATGCAGGGACCTGCTCGCTGAGGTGAGGAGGCTCGGGGGACCACTGACAGCATTAGGTGGGGGAGGATTGAAGTAGGGGGTGTTGAGATCACTCTGGCTGTTGTGTGGGGAAGAGACTGTTGGGAGACAAAAAGTAAAATGGAGACATTCAGGAAAGAGGCTGGTCTAGGGTCACAAAATCAGAGACGAGGGTGGAAGTGGGTAGCAGAAGGGCGCTAATAATTGTAATAACCCTAATAATTGTAATGATAACCACAGTAAGGGCAGAACATTCACTAAACACCTATGTGCCAGGCACCATGCTAAGCACCGTAGCCATCAACCAGTGGGCGCTGTTATTACTCCCATTTGGCAGCTAAGTAAACTGAGGCAAAGAGACGCATCTCAGTTCAGCCAGCTAGGAAGCAGCAGAACAGGTATTTGAACCCAAGCAGGGTCCATACGCTCTCGGGCAACACCTGATCCTGGAAAGAAGGGGTGGAGTTTGAGCCTTAACAGGACTTGGAGGGAGGGAGAGAGAGAGGGAGAGAGAGAAAGAGAGAGAGAAGGAGCAAGGAGTCATTTGTTAATTCACACACTCTGCATCCCCTTGTGTTTGTTTACCTGGCCGAGTAAATAAATCCCCCCTGCGTTCTTCCTGTGCCCTCCAAGCTGGGGCCAGCGGCACTGCCCACCCGGACTCTGAAGGATTCCTGCGACCCCCTGGCCTCCTGGAAGGCACTGGTCGTGGAAAACAGGCAGACTTGGCCCAGACCTAGCTCTGCCACTTCCTGAGGCTGTGACTCGGGAGTGACTAGTCCCGCCACCCTGCGTGGCTGATGCAAAGATTAAGTGAGTGGCCTGGTGCAAAGCACCCAGGAGAGTGTCCGGATCGGCCCCCCAGGTGGCACCCAGGTGCCAGGTGGGTACGGGATCCCTGGCCATAGGCACAGGGTCCGCGGGAGCCAATAAGTCAGGTAACAACTCCATAGGAATGGATGTGGCTTCCCGGCAAGTATTTATAGGTCGACAATTTACTTCTAAGGGTCATATTTACCATAAGTCATGTTGCCTGGCAACGCGGCTGACCCTTCCCCTTTATCAGGCTGCCAGGGCAACCAGCTGGAAAGTGAATTTCCCAGACGGGAAGTCTGCAAACCCTTTACCCACACAACAATGGGATCTACTTTGGGGGGGCTCCTCTGAGCAAAGAATGGAATATTTTCACTTTATAGATAGATTTCATGATACAGATATGAGGTTGAACCACGTCACAGAGCCAACATATGGCTGCTTCTCACGTCCAAATAATAGCAACTCCATGCTTCAAAATGATAAAATGGGGGATGCCTGGGTGGCTCAGGTCATGATCCCGGGGTCCTGGGATTGAGTCCCGCATCGGGCTCCGTGCTCAGCAGGGAGCCTACTTCAGCCTGCTTCTCCCTCTGCCTGCCGCTCCCCCTGCTTGTGCTTGCTCTCTACTCTCTCTGACAAATAAATAAATAAAACCTTAAAAAAAAAAAAGATAATGGGGCGCCTGGGTGGCTCAGTCGGTTAAGCGACTGCCTTCGGCTCAGGTCATGATCCTGGAGTCCCGGGATCGAGTCCCGCATCGGGCTCCCTGCTCGGCAGGGAGTCTGCTTCTCCCTCTGACCCTCCCCCCTCTCATGTACTCCCTCTCTCTCATTCTCTCTCTCTCAAATAAAAATAAATAAAATCTTAAAAAAAAAAAAGATAAAACAGCTTAGAGCAGACCCTGGCCTACCTTAAGCTCTCCAAAATCATGATCGTTATTAATATTGACTAACATTAAGGGGCACCTGGGTGGCTCAGTCCTTAAGCGTCTGCCTTCGGCTCAGGTCATGATCCCAGGGTCCTGGGATCGAGCCCCACATTGGGCTCCCTGCTCAGCGGGAAGCCTGCTTCTCCTCTCCCACTCCCTCTGCTTGTGTTCCCTCTCTCGCTGTGTCTCTCTGTCAAATAAATAAAATCTTTAAAAAAAAAAATTGACTAACATTAATTAATAAATAATATATAGTACATATTATAGTAATATACATGGTATATAATGACATCGGACAATACATTAATAATAATTAATATTAACTAATATTATTATTGGGTATACAAAAAAGGACATATGCACACGCAGGTGTTCATAACAGCATTGCTTAAACTACAAAAGCCTTGAATCCCCATCGGCAGAGGGAGGGCTGGGTCAGTGCCTGGTAGAGACTCCTGTGCCCCGCCCCCCGCACCCCACCAGGAGCCTGGAGTGGTTAGAGTACTGAAACCAGTGCCTAGTTCAAATCCAGCCCCGCTGCATTCTAGCTATTTAAATACCTTCACCTCTCTGCCTCTGTTCTTTACCTATAAAATGGACGCAAGAACCTAGTTGGTAGTATCATTGCAAAGACCAACTGAGTGAATCCGTGTGAGTCACTTAAAACAGTGCCTGGCACACTCTAAGGACTCAACAAATATCAGGTGTCATAGTCTTCCTGTTTATAGTGTTACCATGAGAGTTATTAAAAATGACGAGGCAGCTCTAAATGGATCAACAGAAAACAGTCTCCACGATAAAGTGTTAATTAGAAAATCAAAGCCGGGGCGCCTGGGTGGCTCAGTTGGTTAAGCAACTGCCTTTGGCTCAGGTCATGATCTTGGAGTCCCGGGATCGAGTCCCGCATCAGGCTCCCTGCTTGGCAGGGAGTCTGCTTCTCCCTCTGACCCTCCTCCCTCTCATGCTCTCTGTCTCTCATTCTCTCTCTCAGATAAATAAATAAAAAAATCTTTAAAAAAAAAAAAAAAGAAAATCAAAGCCAATGAATAGCTTATCTACACATTTCTGAAAAAAAGTTTGCATCAGAGCTACCAATTTTGGGGCGCCTGGGTGGCTAAGTCGGTTAAGCATCTGTCTCGGCTCAGGTCATGATCCCAGGGTCCTGGGATCGAGTCCCACATCGGGTTCCCTGCTCAGCAGAGAGCCTGCTTCTCCCTCTCCTCCCCACTCCTGTTCTCTCCCCCTATCTCCGTCTCCTTCTCTCAAATAAATAAATAAGATCTTAAAACAAAACAAAACAAACAGCTACCAATTTCTAAGTGTTTGCCAAGCATCCACACAAACTGAAACAAAACTTTTCATCTAATATTCACCCCCTGCCTCCTGCACAGGCTCTGACATTCTCTACTCTGTTTCAGTTTAAAGAGTTAGTAACAATGAATGTTGTAACCTGTTAATAAGTGGGGACCCCCTCAGCCCCAGTCTCAAGGAGATCTGGAAGGAGGGGTACTGAAGAAACAAGTAGCCATGCTGGGCATGGGGGCTGTGGGCCCGTGGGGTGGAGAGAGGGGGCCTTCCTATCCATACGCCCTGTTTGGCTGCTTTTCAAATTTACTGCTGGGTGCACCCAGTTCCATTCTGCCAGGGGAGTGGTGGGGTGTTAGGCAGGAGAAAGAAAATCAATAAGTAAAGCTTGAGCCTATTAAAAATCAAAATACCCCTCGTTCATCCTTCCCTCTCCCCCAGACCCCCATGGTGGAGAAAGCCACAGGGCAAGTTCTGGAGATGCGAGTGACAGCGAGACGGTGGCGTGGGGAGCCGAGGTACCTGCAGGGAGCTGTGGACCGAGAAGAGGCAGGAGGAAGTGTTAGAGGCAGTGTGGGTGGTGGGGTCCTGGAGCACCAGCAGCTGGCGGTCCGTCTTCTGGGTGAACAGGAGCTTCAGGAAAGGGGTTGATGGTTAACGGGAGCTGGAAGGATCACAGAGGGCCCACCCGTTCCCAGGAGCTCTGGCCCTTGTATCCAGTGTCGGCCCATTTCTCAGATGGAAAAACAAAGGCTCCAGGTCACAAGGGAGCTGGACCGTGGTCTTAGGGGAGCAAGGACTGTGGGCGAGACCACAGGTTCCCTGAGGGGTAGGGGCTGGGGGCCTGAACTCCTGGGTCCCAAAGGTAAAAGGGTTTAGGGGTTGAGAACTGTGGATCCCAAGGGAAAAGGTGTCTGTGGGCCTGGACTCCCGAGGGAGGAGGAAGAGGTTGGGGGATGGACTCCTGGGTTGGAGGGCGATGGGGCTGACAGGGGCATGAAATCCCCATACCTTTGTGAGGGCCCGGTTGGACTCAGAGAAGTCTCCACCTGGGGTTCCTTGGAGGCAATTAAGCTCGAGCAGGCGGCTCCGTTCCTAAGGCAGAGCAAGTTATCACAGGCTAGCACATCACAGACTCAGAATGGGCTGTCCCAGCCTTCCCTGGTACCAGGAGGCATCTTGGGGTGCAGGGTGGAGATGGATTGCCCCAGGGGGATGTGAGGACAGTTGGACAGGTCTCCCAGGAGAACTCACCTGCGTCAGGGCCTGAAGGGCCTCGTCCTTCTTCCGGCTCAGCCCCCTGCTCTCAGCCGCCATCTGCCCCCCCAGCGACTTGAGCTGCTCCTCTAAGACCTGGATCCGGTGCTGCAGGGCATGGCCCAGGGCCCTGGTTACTCAGGTGTCCCAGGGCTCCCAGCTGGCTCCCACAGAGCCAAGTCCTTCTCAAGAGCCTGGGGTTTGCTGCACCCCGTAACAGAGATCCCCGGGACCTGGGTGCCCATGAGTGGGTGGGGAGTTAAGTTCCCTGGTGCCCTCTTCCCTTTTGGGGATTGGGAAGAGACCTGGGGTGGCTTGGGGGGGGGTGGAGGAGCTGATGTACAGACAGAGATGGAGAGAGACAGACCCAGAAAGAGTTGTGGAGAACAGAAAGGGAAAGGGACAGAGAGACCAACTAGAACAGATACAAAAAAGAAGGATCAAGACAGTCCCTGAGAGGAAGATGCGAGCAAGGGAGGAAGATGCAAGAACAGAGACAGATAGAAGGGAAAAGAGAGTGACAGGGAGAAGATCCAGAAATGGAGGTGGAGAAAGGAGCCCCGCGTCCTAACCGAGTAGGTTCAGATCCCAGCTCCACCCTCTACAAACTGAGCGACCTTGGAAAAGATTACTTGAGCACCTTGACCTTCAGTTTCTTCATTATAAAGTGGGGGGGGGGGGAGTCAGATTGGCCTCCCCAGATTCTTGTAAAGATTTGATGAGTAAGGACTCATGAAACATTTAGGACCATGATTGGCACATAGTAAATGCTCAATAAACATCAATCATTGTTGTTACTCTTCAGAAGACGGTGAGGCGGGTGGGAAAGGATGACAGAGAAAGGGCCAGACGGGGGAATGGAGGAGTCAGAGGGTAGCGGTGAGGGAGGGCAAGCCCTGCCCGACTCACCCTGTGCTGTGCCACACTGGCCTGGAGTTCCCGGACCTTGGGGTCCAGTGCCCGGGCCCCAGGGCTGTCCCGGTCCTCCTCCTCCCGCCTGCTCTCCTGCTCCAGCTGCTGGAACTCGAGGTCCTCGTAGGCACACTGGGCCACATCTAGCTGTTCCCTCATCTGTGGGTGGGAATGCAAACACTGGAGGCCTGGATCCTGGGGGGGGGAGGCGGTAAGTGGGTTGGGGCCAGGAGTCCTGGGCAAGGAGGGAAGAGGGGCTTGAGGACCTAGACTCCCAAGTCCTAGGAGTTATAAGGCTGGGGCCTGAACTCCTAGGTGAGGGAACAGAGGCCTGAGGGCCTGGACGTCTGGGTCCTGAGGAAAGAGCAGCCTGGATACCAGGTCCCGGAGAGGATCTGGAGGACCCTCACCTCTTGCACTCCCTGCAGGAGCCGCTCTCGCTGGTCCTCCGGCTGGGAGTCGAGCTGTCCCTGGGCCTCCTGGAGTCTTTGGCGAAGACCCTCCACTCGATCCCGCTCCTGGCTCAGCCGCCTCTGTTGCTGAAAGAACAGCCAGGCTCTCAGCCTTCTCAGTCCAGTCCAGTGTGGACACAGGAAGAGAAACAGAGTCCAGCACGGGCGACGCTAGCTGGATCCCAAACCCTGCCTGGGTGCTGGCTCCAACACTGCAGGGACCCTGTCTGTCTGGTTCACTTTTTTTTTTTTTAAGATTTATTTATTAGAGAGAGAGAGTGTGAGCATGAGCAGGGGAAGCAGCAAAGGGAGAGGAGGAAGGAGGCTCTCTGCTGAGCAGAGAGCCCGATGTGGGGCTCGATCCCAGGACCCTAGGATCATGACCTGAGCCGAAGGCAGACGCTTAACTGACTGAGCCACCCAGGCGCCCCCCTTAACTACATTCTTGGCAATTTTTTTCCCCTCCAGAAACAGAAGTCTCACTTGCTTGCTTTTGCCAACCCCCTTCCTCTGGCCACACTCTAATTTGCCAACATCTTTCTTTTCTTTTTTTTTTTTTAAGACTCTTTTTTAAAAGATTTTATTTATTTATTAGAGAGAGAGAGCTTGAGCATGACAGAGAGAGAAAGGGAGAGAGCAGGAACAGGGGCAGGGGGAGAGGGAGAAACAGACTCCCCGTGGAGCAGGGAGCCCGATGCGGGGCTCGATCCCAGGACCCTAGGATCATGACCTGAGCTGAAGGCAGACGCCCAACTGACTGAGGCACCCAGGTGCCCCTGTCTAGTTCACTCTTGTACAGGCTGGGACGATCAGGGCAGTGAAACACAGAGACTACAGAAACCGAGACTGGAGAGCATCTTCCTGGATGGGAGGATTTTAAGATAAGCCTCAAAAATCAGGGAACGTTTAGACTCAGGGAGCTCGAGGGAGCCGGAAGGGCGCTTTGGGCTGAGGGAACAGCGCAGCACAAATGCACAGTAGTTGAAAAGCACAGGAAGTTTCGGGGGTAAACTCTGGTCAGAGGGTAGAGATGAGGAGCACAGAGGGAGGTGACAGAGAAAGGCAGGCTCGGCGCAGCTCCTGTCTGGTTTGGCCAACTGGCTGAGGAACCCTTATCCTGGGGCACTGGAAGGACTAGAGACAGAGGTTCAGGGAGCAGAAAGGACAGGACATGTTGACTGACCACAGGTTTGGGGGTGAGAGAGAGGGAGGTGTGTAGAGCTAGGCCCTGTTTTTTTTTATTATTATTATTATTTTTAAAGATTTTATTTATTTGACAGAGAGAGAGACAGCAAGAGAGGGAACAGAAGGAGTAGAGTGGGAGAGGGAGAAGCAGACTCCCCACTGAGCAGCGAGCCTGACGTGGGGCTCGATCCCAGGACCATCAGGACCCGAGCCAAAGGCAGACACTTAACCACTGAGCCGCCCAGGCGCCCCAAGGCCCCTGTTTTTAAAAACACCATCCCTGTTTCGTTATCAGACCTGAAGAATGAATAGGTTGTTAAAGAGTTTACAGACAGTATCATGTCTGGTACTGGCTTTTAAAACGGGGGAGAGGGAAGCAAACTGGGGGATATGAAACGAGAATGGAAGATTGATTACTGCTAAAGGTGGTGAACACACCACAGAGCCACCCGTTTGACTATTCTGTTCGTTGGTTTGACATTTTTCACAAGATGACATTTAAAGAGCAAAGAGAGGGCCAAAGGAAGAGGCCCCAGAATCATGGTGGGGGAGGGAGAGGGAAAACAAGAAGCATCTGCCCACCCCTCACTCCCCCAGCCCAAGGATCCCCCTTTGGGGAATGAGGATAACCCTGGGGCTCAGGTCCCAGGAGCACCACCAGGAATATCGGTCCGATGAGGAAGGAAACTGACGGTGAAGATCGCGCAGGAGAAACTGACCTGTTCCTGCTGCTCGTGGTTGCCCCGCTTCGTGTCCCCCTGCTGTTCCAGCAGCTCCCGGAGCTGCTCTTCCTCGCGCCGGGCAGCCACCCGCTCCCCAGCCAGCTCGCCCCGCAGAAGGGCCACTTCCACCTCCATCTGTGGGGAGAATGTAAGGGCTGGGGCCCGGAGGTCTGGGTCCGAGGAAGGAGGAGGCTGGGGACTTGGACGCCTGGGTCCAAGTGGGGTGCCTGGGAGTCTGGGGTCCTGGATTCGGAGGGAGGGAGGATAGGGCTGGAGGCCTAAGAGTGGGATCCCGGGAGGCAAGGCCCAGGAGCCTGGCCTGGAGGGCTCCCCTTGAGCTGGGGGCCAGACTGCCCACGAGGTCCGCAGCCTCACCTCGATCCTCAGCTCCTTCCTCTGGCGCTGTAGTTCCTTCACTCGCTGCTCCATCACGGCCACGCGGGTCAGTGCCTCCAGCTGCTGCTCTCGAAGCCGCCGCGCCGCCCCTCGCACCCCCTCCCCAGGCTGGGTGGATGCGGGGGGCGTGGCCGGGGTCTGTGCCGGGGACCGAGCCTCCCGCTGAGGTCGGAGAGGGGCGTGTTCAAGAGGAGAGGCCTCGCCACTGCAGTCATCAGGCAGGTCCGTTCCCCACCCCATTCTCGGGTCTGGGGGTCTGATCAGCCCCAGTCAGTCGCCACGCCCGTTTATTCAAGTGGGGGAGGGTGCAGGTGCGGGAGCACCCCGGGCGGGGCAGGAGGCCCAGGGGCTTGCAGTCGGGGAGGGGACGTACGCAGCCGACTCAAGGAAGGTCCCTTTTTCGCTACCCAGGTCCCATTCTCTTGGCATCGCGTCCTGGTAGACCCGGATCTCTCTCCCGCTCTCCCCGGGTCGCTCTGAGTCTTTTCCCCGTTTCTCTGGGTTTTGTCTCTCCGACTCAGTATCTGTCTCTCTCTCTGAATCGCTAGGTCTCTCTCCCTTTCAGAGTATTTCCCTTCTGAGCATCTCTGTCCTTTGTTTCTGGGTTTCTGTCTGTCTCTTTAACCCCATCTCTCCGAGGCTCTGTCTCTGGTCTTTCTGTGTCTCTGTCTCTTTGGTTCCCTTGTCTCTCGGTCTCCCTGTGTCCAGGTCTCTATCTGGTCTCTCTCTACCTGTCCCTTTGTGGCTCTGTCACCCGCTAGCGCCTGTCTGTCTCTCTGGGCCCCCCGGGGCCCCCTCCTTCGCCCTCCAGGTCCCTCACCGCGTCGCGGCTGCTCTCCGTGCTGCTGCCTTCTTCCACTTCTTCCTCTTCCTCAGCCTGCTGCTCAGCTCCTCGGCCGCTCGGAAGCTCCTTCACTCCCTGGGGCTCCTCCGGGGCCTCGGGCGCCTCCGGCTCGTGGGGGTCCTCGGGGTGCACCTGGGGCTGCGCAGCCCCTTGGGGCGGGACCTCCGCGTCGCCCTCCGGGACCGGAGGCGGCTGGCACCCCTCGTCCCGGCCGCTCGGCGTCCCCATGGCCGCTCGGTGCTCCAGCGGAGTGGGCGGGCCCGAGTTCCGGGGGCGTGGCCTGGCAGCGTGAGGATGCGGCCCAGGAGGCTCCCGAGCGCTCGGGCGCTCGGAAAGAGCTCCAGGAGGCGGGACCTAAGAGATCAAAGACTGGAACTGAGCGCTCCGGGGGCGTGGCCTGGAGTTTCTAGGGGCGGGGTTCGATGGCTCCCAGGGCGCCACACCCCCGAAGGCCCGACCGGAATTTGAGTTGGGGGGGGGGTCTTCGCACGCCCCCTACTGGCCTCTCCCTCCTACCCAGGTGTCGAGGCTTGTACCCTCCCAGCAACCCCCCAAAATCCCTTGGAGCACCCTAGAGCGACCCCATCTCCTTCTCCCTCCGGGACTCCCTCCTTTCCCGAGCCTGGTAGACTTGGCTCCGACACCACTGTAGGGGGGCGCAGCGTCCATGCCGTCTCACTCAGAGATCCAGGAGTCGGGGCTCCTACTTTCCCTCCCTGAGCAAACCAAGAGTCTGCGTCCTCTGCTCGTCCCAGGGCTAGATTCCCAAACTGCAGCCTCCCTCCACTCCCGGGAGCCCAGAAGGCCGTCTTCAGCTCCCTCCTGCCCCGCAGCCCCGGCCCCCTCACCGGCTCAGGCTTCGGCGGGCTTGGTCGCTCTGCGCTCTGCGCTCTGGGCGCTGCCTTTTCAGTCTGCGGGACAGGTGGCTGGGGAAGAGGGAGGAGAGAGAAGCTGCTCTGTCCCCCTCCCCAGCATCCCGGAAGTGGAGGGGGGGGACAACAGGTCCAACAGCTCCCCGAGGGAGGAGGGAGCGACCAGTTTGCCCCGCCCGCGGCCGCGGCATCTGGCCATCCCGGCCCCACCGGCCCCACCCTCGGAAAAGCCAGCATCGCGACCCCTCACTCAGCCTCCAGCGCCTCCAGCGCCTCCAGCGCCTCCCGCCCCGTTCCTGCCCCCTGGAGGGCTAGGCGTCTTCATCACCTATGTATAAGCGTCTCCCTAATGCCCCGACACCGGGAATCCTGAAAGGAAGGGGGAATGGAGATAGGGGCCTCTCCCTCTAATGAGCCCTTTAGAAGGGCTCCGACCGGTTTGGGGAGCTGGGCAAGGGGAGGGGGTGCCCTGGGCTGAGTCAGAGACCCGCCCAGAGACAGTGGAAGTGTGCCCACCCCCCTGCCCCACTCTGCTATGGGGTGGAGGGCAGAGGTTAAAGGTCTAAGCCAGACCCTTTCCTCTCTGGGCAAAAACAGGAAAATAACTGGCATGTGAGACAGGATTATTGGATGTCAGGAGCTGTGCTAAACACTTGACACACGTTAATTTCATCCTTATGGTAGCCTAATGAGAAAGGGATTACTATCTCCATTTTATAGTTGGGGAAACTGAGGCTGAGGGGGTTAAATGTGCCTGGAAGTCTAGACATGCTGTTAATCTCAAGGCTGGATTTGTTCTCTGGAAAGTCCATGTTCTTAACCATTGGGCACACTGTCACTCTGGTGCAGCCAGGAAGTGCCTGGAAGATCATTCCAAATGATAGTAACAATAATAGTCACCACTGATAGGGCACCTGCCATGCAGGCAGTGTGCCAAGGCACCTCATACATGTGGACTCATTGGATCATCACAACACCCTATTATTAGTATTATTTCCATTGCACAGATGAGGAAACTGAGACGTGGAGGAGTGAAGGACCTTCTCCTGGGTCTTACGTGTGTGAATGGCTCCAACTCAAGATAGTATTCTAATCCAAGGAGGTGAGAAGCCCTGCCCCAGATAGGTTTGTTTCTGATCTTGTGAGTTAGAAAATGTCCTCCTTCCCTGCACCCTGCATCTTCACCCTGCTCTCTCCTCCCTGGCCTCTTCAGACCAGACACCTCAGATCAGAAAACCAATGGCTTCCCCCCCAAAAACAGACAGAAATGAGATTCAGAGCAAAAAATATATATATATATATATTTTATTTATTTAAGAAGCTCAGGGGCTGGTGAGGGAGGGGAAAAAGAGAGGCGTGGCGATGGCACCTCTCTGTACCCCACCTAGTGCATTCTTAACAGAAATGAGCACCTGACAAAGCTGGGTCAGGAAGGAGGAGTCTGGATCCCACAGCGCATGTTGGCTGGAACAGCAAAGTCTGAAAGGAAAAACCCAGGGCTGAAACTAAGGGGCCCTAGCAGACCCCCTCATGCCCCATTGGGGGCCCAGAAATCCGAGGAGCCCTTCTTCTTTGGGAAACATAATTCTGGCCCTGAGCCCCCTCCTCCCTCAGACCCAGGAGTCCCAGCCCCCAACTGCTCACCTATCTGCTGAGGCTTGGGCAAGTTCAGGTTGTCCATGACCTTGACAAACTCCTCACAGCTGAGGGTGAGCCGCGGGTTCAAAGTCCGCTCCTCCTCCACGGTGGACACTGTGAGCCCTAGCGGCCAAGGGAGGAGAGGAACGTCAACCTGGCAAGTGCCTGGGGCCTCCTAGGACTACATTTCCCAGGAGGCTTAGGGTGCATCTCGGGCCTGGGACTAACAGGCTCTTCCCAGAATGTTACCAAGATCGCCTGCTCTCCTCGACTGGCACTATGGGAAATGTAGTTTCCCACGTGCCCTAAGCTCTCTAAGGAAGTTCCAGGAAAACGCATGCCCTCCGGAATTCTAGGAGTCTTGTTTCTACATCCACACTCAGCACACCTAAGCACTTGATCTTTTTGGCCAGAGAAATTTCTGGGAATTGTGGTCTCCATGCCCCACATGGACTACAGCAGTTTGGTACTCCCTCTCAAATGGACAGTTATATGTCCCACACCTCCTCCAGGAAGCCCTCACCGCGGTAATCATGAGCAGGGTAGATCAGACAGTCTCCTGGAAGCGTGAAGATCTTTTCGTGGACTGAGTGGTACAAGGTCTTAGCACAGCCTGGGAAAGGAAAGCTCAGAGGTGAGTAAATCAACAGGAGAGAAGCCTTCTAGCCCCTTTCCTCAAGAAAGGGTGGGAGGATAAAATCAAGTAGCTAAACCCTCTTCCTCATTTCCTGCCAGTACCCCTTTGTCTAGGCACAGAAAGAGAGGGAAGGGCATTGTAGGCAGATGGAACAGCAAATGCAAAGAATTGAGGAATGGTGAGAAATTCACCATGGTGGTAAATAAGGTTGGGATGAGATCCTGAAGCACCAAGGAGCTGTGCCCTCAGCCTGGGGATGCCAAGAAAGGGTTCTGGGCTGGGAGGCTGGACTAGAAGGTAAGAAACCGAAGACATGAGGCCAAAGAAGAAAACGGGCCCATGGTTCCAACATCAGGCTCTGAGTCCTAAATTAGGACAGGGGCAAACCTCTCTGGACCTCCCTTCCCACAGTGAAACTCCTGAATCTAACTGCCCCCTCCCAGCTAAACTCCTGAATCAAACTACACACCCCTCCCCCTGCCACACCTCCAGCACCTAAACTCCTTACGTTCAGGTTTAAAAATATGTCCACAGTGGGGGACGCCTGGGGGGCTCAGTCGGTTAAGCTTCCAACTCTTGGTTTTGGCTCAGGTCATGATATCGGGTCATGGGATCAAGCCGCCCCCCCCCCCCCCCCGCCAGGCTCCCTGTTCAGGGCAGAGTTGGCTTGTCCCTCTCCCTCTGCTCCTCTCCCCACTTGCACACACACACTCTCTCTCTCCCTCTCTCAAATAAATAAGTAAAATCTTAAAAAAAAAAATGTCCACAGGGTGCCCGGCTGGCTCACTTGGTAGCGCACGCGCCTCTTGTAAGTTTGAGCTCCACAACGGGTGTAGAGATTACTTAAAAAAATATATATAATTAAAAAAATATATATATATATAAATATAATCTTTAAAAAATAATAATAAAAAGTGCTCACTTCAGCAGCACCAAACTAAAATTAGAACAATACAGAGAAGATTTAGCATGGCCCCTGCACAAGGATGACATGCAAATTCGTGACGCGTTCCACATTAAAAATAAATAAATAAATAAAAATTTTAAAAATTAAAAAAAAAAAGTCCACAAACTCACTGACACTTTTCTGTTCAAAACGTGACAATTCTCCTCACCTTGGCTCAGTGGTCTGGACTAAGTGACTTGCAACTAATAAATAGCATATTGCGGAAATGACAGAGTTTAACTTCTAAGACTAGGTCATTCAAAAAAAAAATTAGGGGCACCTGGGTGGCTCAGTAGGTTAAGCATCTGCCTTCGGCTCAGATCATGATTCCAGGGTCCTGGGATCGGGTCCCGCAGCGGGCTCCCTACTCAGCGGGGAGTCTGCTTCTCTCTCCCTCTGATGCTCCCCTGCCCCCCTGCTTGTTCTCTCTCTCTCAAATAAATAAAAATCTTTAATAAAAAACTAGGGCTTCTGTCTGCTTGTCCATCTGTGTCTCTCTGACCATTCCCTTTGGGAGAACCCAGCTGCTGTGTCAGGAAGACAAAGTAGCCCCGTGGGGAGGTCCATGTGGTAAGGAACTGAGGCCTCCTGCCAACAATCAGAGCCAGATTGCCAGCCATGTGAGTGAGGCACCTTGGCAGCAGAACCCCCGGTCCCGGTCAAGCCTTCAGACGACTGCAGCCCAGGCTCTAGCTTGACTATACTCCCACGAGTGACGCTGAACCACCCAGCGAAGCTGCTTCCAGAGTCCTGAATCTCATAAACTATGTAAGATAGTGTCAATCATTGCTTTAAGTCATTAAGTTCTGGGGTAATTTGTTTCACAGCAATAGATAATGAATACACCTTTGCATCTAACTGTCTCCCAACAAGGTAAACCGCTGAACTGCCCCGCAGTAGCTAACCCATGAATCTAACTCTCCCTCACTCTAGCAGCGAAACTTCTTCAATCTAATCCTGACCCCCTAACAGTCTAACACCTGTTCATTCATTCTTGCAACAGGTACTTAAAACCCTGGCACACACATAACCATACTAAGATCTCAGGCTAGGGAAAAGGGCCTGTGACCTTGCTGGAAGTCCGTTCGGCCACACCCCCGGATGAGCAGGGCATCTCCAGTGAAGGCCATGCTGTGGTCATTCAGAACAAAGGTGACACAGCCTGGGGTGTGGCCGGGGCTCGCCCGGGTCTCCAAGGCCTAGTAGGGAAGGAGAATACAGACAGTTACTAATAAGCCAAGGGCCCTGGCCTCATGATGAAATTGGCCTGAGAAGCCCCCATCTCACCCTAGGGTCACATCTAGCTAGGGTGTTTTTTTTTTTTTTTTTAATTAAAAAATTAAGTTTGGGGCACCTGGTGACTCAGTCAGTTAAGTGGCTGCCTTCGGCTCAGGTCATGGTCCCAAGGTCCTGGGATCGAATCCTGCCTAGGGCTCCCTGCTCAGCAGGGAGTTTGCTTCTCCCTCTCCCGCTCCCCTTGCTTGTGCTTTCTCTCTCTCTGTCAAATAAATAAATAAAATTTAAATTAAAAAAATTAAGTTAGATTCCCAGACTCAAACCTTGTACCAGGGTAAACTCCCAATGAATCTAAACACTTAAAGCAAGAAAATAAAACCATAAAACTGTGACGACAACAAAAATACAAATGAATATATATGATCTCTGGTTAGGGAAGAGCATTCAAATGTGATCCCAAAAGTTGTAAATCATTACAAAAAAGATCAATGGTTTGACTTTAAATAAATCTGAAGTTTCTGAACGGCAACAACACTATAAACAAAATTGAAAGGGAACCAACTGGCTGGCAAAATGTATTTATGACACATATGCACCACGTGGTAGTCAGTATACTTCCTATACAAACAGATCTCCAAATCAGTAAGAAAAAGATAAGCACACTAATATAAGTATGGAATACCAAACAGTCATTTAAAAGTATGTTATTGAAATGACATTTGACGATGCTGTACACAAATATTTACTGACATGAAAAGATATTTACTATCTGGTAAGTGCTAAAAGCCGATTACAAAGCAATTGTACAGTGTCATCTTTTTTTTTTTTTAAAGATTTTATTTATTTATTTATTTGAGAGAGAGAGAGAGAGAAACAGCATGAGAGGGGATAGGGTCAGAGGGAGAAGCAGGCTCCCCGCTGAGCCGGGAGCCCGATGTGGGACTCAATCCCAGGACTCTGGGATCATGACCTGAGCCGAAGGCAGTCGCTTAACCAACTGAGCCACCCAAGTGCCCCAGTGTCATCTTTTAAAAAAGTTTCTTCGTTTACTCAAAACATTTATTTTTTCGTTAGGCTTTGCCTACATTACCCTTTTTTTAAACAGAAAGCATCTCATTTTATAATTAAAAATAGAACACAAGATTCAGGATAAACTAAAGATCTAAACATTTAAAAAGCAGAAGAAATCTAAAAGGAAATATATAAGGATATACATAACCTAATATAAGGAGATGTGTGTGTGTGTGTGTGTGTGTGTAATCTTGCTTCCCTGAACTGGGTGTGGGGATTTACATAATGAGGATTTCCTGGGTGGGCATTTTTGCCCATGTTTTTAAGGTTTTTCTAAGCATATTAAATTTAGGGGTGCCTGGGTGGCTCAGTCGATTGAGCATTGGCCTTCGGCTCGGGTTATGATGCCAGGGTCTTGGGATCAAGCCCCACATCGGGCTCCCTGTTCGGCGGGGAGTATGCTTCTCCCTCTGCCTGCCACTCCCCCTGCTTCTGCTCTCTGTCTCTTTCTCTGTCAAATAAATGAATAAAATCTTTAAAAAAAAAGCACGATATTAAATTCAGAGGACATAAGGAAAAACAGTGACAGGGATGACCACATAGTTTAACTTCATTATAGAAAAGGACAAAATAAGAGTTAAAAGACAAAAAACTCAAGAGACGGTAGTAGCAGCATGTATAAGAAAGTATCATAAAGTATGAATAGCCATCATATATAAACAGCTCCTAAGCATCAATAAGAACCCCCCAAAGAAAAATGCACAAAAGGAAAAAAACAGGCAAATCATGGAAGAGGAAACAATTAGTCAAAAAACCATCTGAAGGGGCGCCTGGGTGGCTCAGATGGTTGGGCGTCTGTCTTCGGCTCAGGTCATGATCCCAGGGTCCTGGGATTGAGCCCCACATCAGGCTCCTGGCTCAGCGGGGAGTCTGCTTCTCCCTCTCCCTCTCCTTCTCCCACTGCTCATGCTCTTTCTCTATATATATCTCTGTGTCTCAAATGAATAAATAAAATCTTTTTTTTTTTTTAAGATTTTGTTTATTTATTTGACAGAGACAGAGACAGCGAGAGCAGGAACACAAGCAGGGGGAGTGGGAGAGGGAGAAGCAGGCCCCCCGCCAAGCAGGGAGCCCGATGCGGGACTCGATCCCAGGACCCCGGGATCATGACCCGAGCCGAAGGCAGTCGCCCAACCAACTGAGCCACCCAGGCGCCCGAATAAATAAAATCTTTAAAAAAAAAAAAAACACATCTGAAATGATGTTTGATCTCCCTTTTAGGGAGAAAGGGAGAGAGATTTAAATTTTTCACCTACCAGATTGACAACTGTTAGAGTTTCTCAGGGTGTCTGAGGCAAGCCCACGTTTCCTGGGATGCAGGTACGACTCACTGTAGTCATTTTATTTATTTATTTTTTTTAAGACTTTATTTATTTATTTGAGGGAGAGAATGAGAGAGAGCACATGAGAGGGGGGAGGGTCAGAGGGTGAAGCAGACTCCCTGCCAAGCAGGGAGCCCGATGCAGGACTCGATCCAGGGACTCCAGGATCATGACCTGAGCCGAAGGCAGTCGCTTAACCAACTGAGCCACCCAGGTGCCCTCACTGTAGCCATTTTAGAGGGCAAGTTTGCAGTGTCTACCAATACCTCAAATATGGACTCTCTGACCCCACATAGCTACTGCTACGACTCTGGACTCTGCCGTTAAGAACTTCTGACATGTGGGCAAAAATGCCCACCCAGGAAATCCTCATTATGTAAATCCCCACACCCAGTTCAGGGAAGCAATTGTCATGGAAAAAAAAAAATTGTTACCCTCATGATCTAACAACCACTTATAAGATTAGTTGCCACTCACACAGCGCTCCTCCCACCAATTAGCATCCTGGTCCAGGTCAGTCATCTGCTGATTATAGAAGGACACCATGTGCAGATCCTGCGTCCACACCTACCATCCATTCTGCCCTTCCCCACTCCAGGTCTCTGGTTTGGTTCAGGGCATCAGTGTGCCCAGCCAAGCACTTCCTTACCCTCCATGGTAGCCTGGGTGGCTTCTGACACGGTTCTCTGGCCACTGAGATCTCAGTATGTCTCCTGAAAATGTCTGGGAAAGCTTTTCCCTTCCCGATAAGAGAGTCTGGCACCTCTCCTTCCTACTTTATCTGGCTCTGGACAATGGTGCGATGGACGCAGCTACAGACCACCTTGCAACCATGAAAAAGAATCCCCCAAATGGGGTGCGTGGGTGGCTCAGTCAGTTAAGCATCTGCCTTCGGCTCAGTTATGATCTCAGGGTCCTGGGATCCAGCCCCACATCCGGGCTCCCTGATCAATGGGAAGTCTGTTTCTCCCTCTTCTTCTGCTCCTCTCTGTGTTCATGCTCTCCCTCTCTCAAATAAATAAAGAAAATCTTAAAAAAAAAAAAAAATCCCCCAAATGACAGTGCTACATATCAAAGAGAATGACTGGCTTCTTCCAGACTCCTGTTACGGGAGAAAACTGAACCAAATATTTAAGCCACTGTTTGGGTTTTTCAGTTACTTTCAGCCAAATGTTTTCCTAACTCATATATAACAGGATATACGTGCAATGCAAAACAAATGCAAAGCAAAAGTCACAGATTTTGCAAAATCTTGTGGGAAAAATCACAACCCTCCCCCCCCCCAATTAACATAACCTTTTGGTGGCCCAGGGATGATCTTTCACTTTTTGTCTGTTTCCATACTCTCTGAATTTTTTTTTTTTTAAAGATTTTATTTATTTATTTGACAGAGAGAGACACAGCGAGAGAGGGAACACAAGCAGGGGGAGAGGGAGAGGGAGAAGCAGGCTCCCCGCAGAGCAGGGAGCCCGATGTGGGACTCGATCCCAGGACCCTGGGATCATGACCTGAGCCGAAGGCAGTCGCTCAACCGACTGAGCCACCCAGGCGCCCTGAATTTTTTTTTTTTAAACAGAAAGCATGGGTGTCTTTCGAACTAAATATTGTGGATGTTCAAAACAGCCAATCACAGTTACAGCAATGGGTACCGACCAATCAGAAGGACGTCAGCTATAAACAACCAGTACATTTAGACAGTATATATACGGTACAGTTGAAGTATACGTATGGTATATATAACTGTGTATATGTATAAATTGGACAAAATTTTGCCAGGCTCTCTTCTAAGTGCTCGACATGACTGAACTCATCCAGTCCACACACATCCTTATGAGATAGGTACCATTCCTGTTCCCATTCTATAGACGAGGAAACTGAGGCACAGAATAAGAATAGGAATGAGCAAACTATGGCTATACGTGGAAGTATGGATGGATGTCACAGATAAGACAAAAGCAAAAAGAAAAAAAGGATGCTAGACACGGAAGAGCAGAGAGGCGTGGAATGGAATAGAATGGAATGGTGGGGGAGGAGATGTGGGATGAAGCGGGAAATCTCAGGGTGCCTGGTATACAGTAGGGGGAAGTGGTATTTCATGTGTGGAGGTTTCAGTTATGAATCCAGATGTACAGTATCTATCTCTTGGAGAGGGCGCACGGACTAGGAGTTAAGAATAGCCTTTGGAGCCAGGTGACATGGGTTCTAAATTTGCCTCTGCTATTTATTACTAGCTGTGTGGCCTTGGACACGTCACTTCACCTCTCTGTTTCTGAGCTTCTCTGCTCATTTGTAAAATGGGGATAATAACTGTTCCCACCTCATAGGGCTATTATAAATATTAAGTTACTGGAGCACCTGAGTGGCTCAGTTGGTTAAGCGTCTGCCTTCAGCTCAGATCATGATCCCAGGACCCAACGTGGGCCCTGCTCAGCGGGGAGCCTGCTTCTCCCTCTCCCTCTCCCTCTGCCCCTCCCCCTGCTTGTACTCTCTCTCTCTCTCATAAATAAAATCTTTAACAAAAAAATATTAAGTTACTTTGAGTATGTAAAGCACTTAGAAAAATGCCCAGC